ATCTACGAGGTGTGAGAGTTTTTCCTGTAAACTGTGTTTTGACCGATATAATACACCCTATCAACCCCCCCTAAATAGGTATTGGGTAGTAGATTAGTGGAAAAGTCTTATAATTGAGGTGGCAACTAAAATGTAAAATTTAATTTTCAAATTTTATAGAATTGCGGAAAATTTGAAAAATCGCGAGCAGGCCCCTTAACGATTTTATATTAAAAGGCGTTTGTTCTCATTTTAAATTTTAAATCGCCACGGGACACTATAATAATTGGGTAGAAAAATCCAAAATTTGGAAATACGGGTCATTAATTACAATAATTCAAAATTGAAAAAATGAGAACTTTAATAAATGCTTTTTAAATTGGGGTTAAAAAATGGTTTATGGTGAATCGCTCTGTATATATATATAGGTATTGCATACATAATATTAAAACTAAAATTGCGGTTAGTTTAAATCTGCAAGCTATATAGTATAATATTATGATATTATAATTTATGTACCTATAGCGAGAATAGATATACATATTATGGCCGCTGCTGGTGGTGGACTGTGGTGTCCGGAAGTTAAACTCTTCCGCTCGCGCGCAGTTTCATACACGGACGCGTACATTATACAGTTGGATAACGTAATATTATTATTATTATTATGTTTGTTTGCTAGACCGTCCATCGCATCGTCCATTGTTTTCGTCCATGTAAACGCTGCGGGGCATATCATCATCGTCAGTTCTTATTATTAATATATATACCTATATTATAATATTATAATATGCAATTTCCAGCGTCTCGGACGAATATAATATAGATTATAGATAGCTGTAGTAGGTATACCTATATATATATATATATATATATATAATATTATAGGTATATTTTACTCTGTATTTTCGACTTTTATTTCAACAGTTCATTTTAATTATAAAACTCTGCAGAATTTGCGAGTTCCATTAAATTATTCATGTCTTGTCATTATATATATATATAGGTATGCGGTATAGGTGCCGTATAATTCAGTCACTTCTAGTCATATATATTATCATATACTACAGTAACGGATGCAGTGTTTCTATTTAAAATCGTTATATGGAATCGAATATAGAGGTAGTACCTACTTATTTTATATACTGCAGTTGAAAATAATTTTACTCCTAGGTTTACCTCATAATGATATAGATTTTTTTTACGATAAGTCTGCCAATGAGTGGACCATATCTTGTGCATTAGGTAATTCACACATTCCAAATCTATAAAATATATATACGAGACATATCACGGCTTTACGCGTTTATATATAGGTAGTATTTTCATATGGCTCAGTAGTTATTGGAATCCGAATAAATGAGTTTTTAGTGCAAGTTAAACGACGAAGGACAACGATCATATGCAATTTGGCACTATAAAAATTGGGTTAACGTTGATTTCCAGTGCGGCAGCGTGATAAAATTAAAAAAAAATCACACGATGAGATTCGGCAACATTTTACCATGTTGAATTCTCATAATTTTTTCGACGCCTAAAACAATAAAAAAACAAATAGTATTATTATATAATATAATACATACTTAGTTCGTTTAGAGAATGTTTTTAATCCGTTTATTATTGGTAAATAGTGTATATATATTATATATATGTATATATGTATATATATTATATATATGTATATATGTATATATATATATATATATATATATATATATATATATCATAATAATGTAGGTATAGTTACTATGATAATAAAAAATCTATTTCTACTCTTTTTAAGTGTTTAAAAAAAACGCAAAAATGTCATTCATAGTTTCATATTGTAGACTATACAATACTCATTATATTGGATATGTATATCGTATATTATGTTTAATAACCAATAAAATCGAACCACATAAATAGGTAAATCAATGATAAACTATGTATGCAAACTGTTAATCGTGCATACATTTGGATAAATAAAAATTTTAATTTTCGGAATAAATTATACAATATTCTTTACGTATAAGTGCTTAAAAATAAATGTAAAAAGCTTATAAAATAAAATAAATCTGAAAACAAACGTTGTCGTTAAGTAAAATATTTTAAATCACAATATTGAATTGAAAAATACTTATTAATATCATTGTATAAAAACAATACATTCACAATATATTTATCGCCCTGCCCGGAATATATTTTAGATAAAATAATAATTAACGAAATTGTTGCGAAACTGTAATATTATACTGAAGTCTTTTTATTTTATTTGATAACAGAAATACGACTTGTACGTTGTGCTCATGACCGTAGAAACTATTGAAGACTGATGGATAAGACAATGTAGGTACAAGCCTGCAGCATTATGTAAGCAAAGAGCCCAAATTTTTTTTGGCGTACCCTCCACGGCTTCTAACTCTAAATTTATTGACCCACAAATAAAAATTATTATTTACATAAATTACTTAATTTACGTTCAATCACTTTTTTATATCAGCAATCGCGGGGTAGATGACAAAAACTGATGTCCACATGGTTTTCATTGAGTTTCATTTTGCAAGTCGTAGAAAAAATTGATATTTACGTCTTAGTAATGCAATACTCAGATCCATCATCCATTAAGTCATTTAGCGAAATGAACTCGACACCACGACGATGGCGGTAAGACGACTTATTGTTTAAGAATAATTTTCCGAGAGACCGACCTCGCGACGCGCGAGTAAAATAATATTATAATATATAGCACATAATAACATTATTACGACATATCGTGTCCGACGAATACGGGAATTGCATTTTTAAACGTCCCACGCCAATTTTTTTTTGTAGGCACGCAAACACCAGTTGGTAATTTAACATTCAAATCGTGGCGCGTTTGACAGAAAAAATCGCATCGTGGTCTCAATTTTTTCAACGAAACAACAGGTCCACATCAGTCTGCCATTATAATATACAGCGATGAATGAACAACGCATGCACTGTAATGCATTTGTACATTTATAAAAAAAAATATATAATAATAATGATATTGGACGTGAACAAGACTCTAATTCTTCAGAAAAAATGATTACCTTGTACGGAACACCATAAAAATTTCCTTCGCCCTATAAGAAAATTAATATATTTCCCATAGTTTTAACAATTTTGGACTGCAGACTGCAGTATGTAGTAGACTTGTATTATATATAAATTCGTAGGTCCAGTTGGTATTTTCAATTAAGTTATGATATCGACAATTTGAAGTAGGTAAGTATACCTATAGAATATATTTATTATATAATAATAGCTGGTAAATGGAAAATAACAGGCGTAAACTTTGTATACATTTAATAGAACCAGTCTAATAATCGTCCGTGCATGGTGGTGCATCGTATAGCAGAATGATGATTTTCCAATTATGTTCATCCCCATTTTTACTTTAATAATGATTTTTCGACATTTTAAGTATAGTTATTTGAGGACTATATTTTCATTCCATTTAAAATCAGTTTTTTGTTGTTTTCAAACTAATTGTATCGTATAAGACGAGTAGAAGATGATGTTTTTAAAAATATTCTATCTAAATTAAAATTATATTGAGTGGTTTCTGTATAATTAAACGTAAGGATAATAATCTTTAAAATTTGATTTTACAAATGTTTAAAATGTTGATATATTAATGTTATATTTTATTATAATTTTCAAATCATCATATCCCGATTGTCCCATATCTACCAAACCTATTGTCATGGATCTATTATAATATTACCAAATTATACATATAGTTAAATAACTCAATAATAACTTCCATTGAAACATCGACATCTTCAAAAATGCCAACTACTTATCAATTAAACGGGAAAAAATTCAAGAGATTTTCATATTTTAAAAAGTTGGGTCACAAGACCCTCGTTAAATTGTAGCGTTCTGCAATCCAAGCGTTTGGTAAAATTAAAACAAAATCGTTTATCCAACTTTGGTGTCAAAGCGTATTATTTTCGTTTATCTGGGACTCGGTTCGAATAGTATTGCACACGGATAACGTAATAATATAATAATATTTTGGGCGTTTGGCCATCGCGATATCAGTGTATATAAATATATTAGGCACGTCCCCGTCTCGGTGGTGGGGGTTGGGCGATTGTGAAAATAATAATAATCGTAAAAAAAAACTCATTGTAGGTATAATAATAATAATAACGCATAAGCCCCGAATGCGGCACAACCACCCCGCGACGAGAGAGGGGTGACTACCGTGCGATCGGCGGCGTGTGTCACCTGGTGCCCGGGGGGGATGGGCGTACGGTGCCGACACCTGGCGGCAGACTGGAAACACGCTCACGCACGGGCACCACCGCCGCCGCGTCGCAAGAACGTATCCTCCGGGTCGGACGACGCGGCCGGTATCGTATAATATTCGTATCCGTCACACCGTCAGTCCGCCACAGTCGTCGATCCGCGACCGTTCGATAGCGCTCGCGCGTCTCTCTTGCTACTCCGCGCCCGTGTCTCAGTGGTTCGCGTTATCGTAGTTTTATCCACCGGCTACAGGAATATTATATTATTGTATATTGATAAAACGAACATTCGTAACGTAAATTATTTATAATTATTATTATTGAAAATTTTTTTTTTCATTATTTTATACGGTTTGTGTACACATGAATTATTATATCGCATTTATCATTACCTCCTCTGTTAATCGTGTTGTGTGATAATTAATTTTATACCTATAAATATTGCTTATTTATTAAAAGTGCGTTTTTATCGTCTACCACGGGTGTTCGTCGCCCGCGTCTAAAATATTATTGTTGTTGTTGTTATTATCATCATTATCAATAATAATAATAACCGACCGTGTCGTCGTCACTGAATTTCGCCAAAGTGTGTTCTCTGCGATGTGTTGCGTTCCACGTACTCGCGTTCCGGAAAACGTCTAAGTCCTAAGTCGGCGGGATATTCGCCGCGTGTTCCGAGAATAAAACGAAATATCATTTTCGCGCACACAAGTGTCGCGTCCGCCGTTATCAGTGCGCTGTGCGTCGACGACGACGACGACCATGCGGTACCGGTGGTGTCTGTATTGCATTGTATGCATCATCACATTCGTCGTTACAAACGTGAGTAGAAATTTATACATGTTGTTATTGTTATAATAAAATATCGCAAACCGTCTTATTGTGCACAATTTTTTTTGCCCTCCTCAGATCCTCGTTGTTATTATTATTATTATAATATTCCCACGAGGACCACACCGATAGATTGTTGTTGTCGACGTCGTCGTCGTCTTTGTCGACGAGGGTCGTGCCCCCCCTCCACCCGCAATAACGTTATTATCAAAATATTAATATCATTGTCGCCGACACCGCCGAGTGACGAAAATAAATCTGACACAAAATCTCGTCGGCCGTCGTTGTTGTTAGTATTCCACAACCTCGGTCGCGGTAATACACGATGATAAAGGTAGGTATGCCAAAAACTCGCTCTGACCACGGGACCGACCGTCGTCCATCACTGCACGATAGCAAGCCGACGACGACGTCCCGAATCCCGATAATAATAATATCGTAACGCACACGCGTCCGAAACTCATCGTCGTCGTCACGACGGCAATTAATAATTATTATTATGATTATCAAGTATAATACTTACGAATTCCTTTCGTCTCGTCTAGCTGCGGACGACCGTTCTCGTTAAAATCCTCCTGTTCAACGTCAACCCGACACAACGGCCGGCATATAAAATATAATTAAACAAAGATGCCCATAACCCGGTTTTTAATAATAATACGGTCCGCTGACATATATACGGTCTCGCGTTCCCCACGCGCGCTACGTACCTTCCTCTCCACCTCATCGCCTCGTCGTTCCGTTTTATTTATATCTCTCCCCGTCCAGAGAAATATACATATACACATATTCCTATCGTCATAACCGAAGTGATACGCGTGTGTTAGTACAATATGATAGTTTTTATTTTTTTTATAACTATCGCTTTTTCGATGATTTTACGCGCTAGGAGTGTTAATAATAATAATAATACCCCATAAAGTCCGTCGTCGTCGGCGCGGCTTGTCCCATTATAGTATTATAGACCATCCGTGGTGGCCGACCGTCCGGCCGCAGACTGCAGAGTGGAGAGTTCGTTTTTAATTTCTGTTTATAATAATTATATAATAATTTAATCGTTATTATTAATATAATAATATTGTTTAGCTCGTGATAACAAGTAACGACGTCGTTGTCGGATATTATTGTTATGTTCGAGTGCCTACTCGACGTAAGTAATTCTGTCTCTTCTTGGAACGGTCGCGGTCGTTATCGGTGCTAGGCGAAGGGGGTGAAGTGATGGGATTACCTGAGTGTCGATTAGATATTTCGCTCCCCCGTCGTACTACCAAACGGTTCATTTGTGACCATCTCCCGGACCATACGACAATATTATTATAATCTATGCTCGGACGTCAACTATTGGTTCAGTTCGAACTTATCAGTATAGCCGCCGCAGATAAGGCATACGACTCGTGGTGTGCGCAGATAATAAAGAAACGGATGGGCCTTACCCATCGATAATGACTTGTGTTATGTATGAAAAGGAGAACTATTGAAATATGGCCATCACCAAACTCATAACAACTACCTAGTGTGATATCTAACGTTCTCTTCGGACCACAGACTTCTGTACAACTACATGTTAATAGCTTACAATTTTTTACGGATAAACATTTTTCCAAACCAAATAACACCTTCAATGATTAATACTCTGTATTCGTTTTACTCTGAGTAGCTAGTCTGGGTATAGAATATTACAGAAATCTGAGTTTCGAGCCCACAACGGTGTCCCGATCCGTCGGAGTAGGAGTAGGCAGCTGGGTCTTATTAATTTCCTTATTATCTCGTCTCCGAGATTTCTCCATCGTCTGGGAAACGGAATGCGGGGGCGGTGGAATAATAATGTAATCATCATCGTTAAATGATAATGTTTAGTCGTAGTCGACGAGCGATTATGACGTCTCTCGGCCGTACTCTCGTTGTGTTGCAGGCCCTGCCGCGGTCGTTGCAAAACGCGAATCGAAAGGACGACGACGGTGTTGTGTGTATGGAACAAAAAAAAAGAAAAAAACCGTATTTCGGTATATTTACAAACACGAGTGGCTCTAACAATGAGCGCATTACCTAACTTTATTAGAAAAAAAATAAATAAATAAAAAGAAACTTTAAACGTGTCGAGTCATTGGTTATTATTGTTTTTTTTTTTTGTTTGGAATGAATGACTTTTATAAAATGCAGTAACACACTCGCGCGTCTTTAACCTATGTCATGATGTTGTCGGCTGAATAAGACGCGTGTCATCATACAGAATTTAGAGAACGACGACGGCGACGATTATAATAATATTATATTATACGGACGAAAAAGAACATCGGGGGCGCGATGAATTTTGTTGGAAATCAAATAAATAACGATGATGTCGGGAAACGACTGCGATCGTAGTGGTAAAGCGACAATAATAATATAATAACGTACCAACCATATACCTAGGTAATAATAATAATACGTGGCCGCCGCTGTGTTATGTAGGCCATCCGTACACCTTATAGAAACTTGTGATGTAAAATAATAATAAAAACAACGAGTAAATCGCATACTATATATTTATTATTATATAGGTGTAATTTACCCCGCGCGCAAAATGTCCAGACAATCGATCGGTTTTTTATGATAATTATTAACGATTCAATCGAGCCGCCACATCGTAATAAGTACGATATCGGTTTCGGATGGATTAATTAATTAATAGAACACAATTCAGAAAAATAAAACAAAATCGACGAATACTTTTTCTTCATAACGGTATTAATATATACGTAACAGTGTCGTAAAACGTGTACGATTTGTTATGCGGTTAATTACCCGAACCTATTTAGAGGTGTATGTGATGGCTGTTGCTATATATACCACCGCCCAGCGCCACGATCTGCAAGAGAATTTCTGGTTTTCTGGTCTAACATAATAGTAATAGTAATAATAATAATATAAAGGCAATAATAAAACGCGTATGATATTATTATTATTATGCCCAATAAATTACGATTACGCGTCGTCGTTCGCACACACACCTCTCTAATATAATATAAAACGATCAAAACCAGAAAAATGCAACTGCCGTCGTCGCGTTTTCCAAACGGCCTCATATTATTATTGCAGCTTGTGTGTGTGTGTGTGAGATCGTATATCGTAGAAATGCGCTTCGTACAGGACACGCACGCACGCACGTATACATATATTATGTGCGAGTCTACACGACGATAATAATAATATAATACTCGGCACGTAATAAAAGTATGGTTACCGCCGAGATAGCGCCGCGCGGTATATTATCATCACGCTCGTAGACGACAATTTTTTTCACCTACATACGTGTTACAGAGGGCTGTTCGTGTGTGTGTGTAGTGTAGTTGTAGGTTCGCGCTGACGAAGAGAAAAAAAATTCGCGTGTTCTCAGGCTATTCTCGTTTTCTTCGAACGCCACTTCTCATATTAGGTACACACGATATTAATATTCTATCGGCCGTTACCTGTCCTGGGATTTCGTATCGGCCAACTTTTCCGCTTCCGAGACGCGCTCCGAGGTGCAGCATGCAGTTGGTTTCCTTCGTAGTGCCAATAATATTTTATTGTTATATTGTAAAGATGAGAGACAGCAGCCATATACCACCCCCCCCCCGCGCATGTGACAGGATCTAAAGTGTATATGTCGTCTCTTTTCTCATAATGTTGGCCATCTCTCTCTCTCTCTTTCTGCAGCCATAGGTCCTTTATGGTTTCTTTTACTGGAAAAAGAATGAAAACGCATCCGTACCCGGTAAAAATAAAAAAAAAAAATTCCAGAACTGTTGTCACATTACGCCGGGCGACCTTTGAGCCACTCTTCGCGGGCAGGCGACCCTCGTCACCGTCACCATTCGTTATATTGATATCCTCGGGCAACACGCGTGTACGTGGTGCACAGGACATTCCGTTTTAGGTATAGTCGCGCTTTCACCCATTGTTTTGGCTCGCGCCGCCGCCATCCTTTGAGCGGAGACGACCTTTATGTCCTCTCGTCAACGTCACCACCGCCTGTCGACGCCGCGTCGTATCTCTGTCGCCAAGCTCGTTGCGCATAATATATAACGACGCGGACCTGAATATGCGTTTTTCTCGCATTATTATTATAATATTATTACTGTGCGCGCGCGTATTCCGTTTTACCCGTTGGGCGTTAACGTCGTCGATTGTGAAAAACGATTGCGAGCTCTCCTCCCGCATAATGCGCGTGTGACAGTGTGACACATACCTATTATTATTATTGTTATTATTATTATTATGACCGTATATACGCGTTCGTTTTCGTACGGCGGTCGCGTATTTTCGCGTGCCGATATGTTGCTTGGAAATAAAATAAATAAAATAGTATGTTAATAGAATATAATATAAACATCTGTGTTGTCTATATAGGTGGATTGCAACGGCGTATTCGAGCTGCGGATAAAATCGTTCAGCAACGAGTTGGGCCGAGAAGCTTCTGGCTCGTGCTGCGGAGGCGTGTGCGGCACGCCGTGCCGGACAAAGTTCCGAGCTTGCCTAAAACACTACGAGACCAACATAAACGTGAATTCAACTTGCACGTTCGGTGACGTCGTCACGCCTGTGCTTGGCGAGAACAGCCTGACCCTCCCGGCCAACGCCACACCGATAGCGTTCCACTTCAATTTCACATGGCCGGTAAGACTATACGACGTTTATTATGTTCAAAACTATTGACCATATACCTATATAGAAGTAGCATTAATGCCCTAAATTTTTTTATTAATATGAACCCACTTGTATAATGCATTAAAAAAAAAAAAAAAAAACAACTATAACTATGATATAAATACATATTGTAGGTCTTCAGTCTTTAAAATTTAACATAAGTATTGTTGCTTTTCATCACACGTAGCACTGTAATTTTGTGATACATTGTTGCATTTTGTTTATTTGTGTTTACTGATCATAATAAAAGTGTTGGGTTAGGAATATGAATGGAATATCAAATGCACGACTCGTTACGTTTCAATTGTTCGCGTTGACGGCGGAATCAAACATGACTAAATACGTTAGAATTTTGAAATTATATTTTTCTAAAAATGTCAAAAATCAAAATTCCGTATGAGTAATCCATTCGATAAGACGTGAGAGAGAAAAATTTGTACCAAAACGACGATCATCGTACACGTCAGCTAGCATTATAAGAAGAAAAAGGCAACGAGCATTGAAATCCCAGCCCTATAGCTTCTATATAATATCTCTTTGCTCCAACGTATTGTTGAGTTACGTGTGTAAATAATACGTGTACTCACGTACACGACGTTTCCGCGAGCAGACACAATAATAATAATATCGTACGGAACGAGGAAGAGGAGGCGACGGTCTTGTGCTATAATATTATATCGTCGTTCGCTTCCTCCTTCGTCTCGCCACAGGAAACCTATAATATTATATTATTAAACCGGAGGGATAAGATAAATGGGATCTATATATTATGCACACATACCGTGCGTATTGTAAGCGCCCGCACACACACACTGCAGCATACCATTATATGTATAGGATATGCTCGCATAAATATTCTTGAGATCTTGTCTTGTCTTGTATTCCAACAAAAGGGTTGACCTGCTCCGGTATAGGTATCCGCCGTCGGGGTTCATCACGCCGGATTACTGCTGAAATCTATATATATATATAATATCATTGTACCGTCGTCGCGTGTTTGTATGTTATGTACGTTTTTTTCCAGAAGCCTTTTCTTTTGTGCGCCGCACCCCGCGTACTGTGCCCATACGCATTATGTGCGCGTTTAGGGGTAGCGGAATCCGGAGATAATAAATCCTCCCCGGCGCGGCTGCGGACCGTTTTACCGTTACGTCCCGGGGAGAGAGACCTTAACCTTCAAAAATGCTAACAACGGACGGAAGAAAAAACCCTTTACGAGGCGCGTACATAATATTATAATAATAATATGTACCCGTGCGATTCGGAGATGGATACCCAGGGAGTGTGAAATCAAAACCTGTCAGGAACGGTAGAAATTATGGGAGTTTTTTTTCCGTTCTCATAATATTCTTCAGACATCAGACGTATATCTTATTATATATATATATAGGTAGAATACACGATAAACACCGCACTGGGAAACTGACTTCCATTCGTGTATTTCTCTGTATGTATACGTTCGATGTCATAAATACCAGTTTCGAATATTGTATATGTTAAAATCGCTCCCGTTTTATTATTTTTTTTATTTTATTTATTTATATACACATACGCTTGATTTTTTTTTAATTAGATCTTATCACGCACTATTGATTAAAACTGGTTTTATTTCGTGCTAGAAAATTAGTAGCTCTCCTTGGACGGAACGCCTACTCGTTAAAATCCACGATTTTTCGTTCGATTAAATGATTTGACGTGTATTATAGTAATATAATAGATAATATCCGTTTAAAGCTCAAGAGCTTTGCGGGGGGGAGGATTAATAACTGCTGCCGTATCAATGTGACTCACGCGTGTCATCCCACTGGGGAAATAATACACTGCGGCATTGCGGTCCATTTGGTATTATATGATCGGGTGGTGGAAGCTGACCGATTTCCACGGGGAGTTGAGGAAGCCGGAAGGGGTGCATTCGTTATAATGTAATAATATATTATATATAGACGGAAATCGATATAGGCTTACGCGCTTCATCTCCCATATGGCACGAATTCAGATATACTTGCCACTGCTCGTCTCCGTTCGACAATAATAAATAATAATAATAGTAATAAATAATAATAGTACACGGGGAAAACGAGTTCGAGTGCGTTACGATATTTCTCTCTCCTTCTCTGTGGTGTGCTGCTGCAGTGTGTGTCAGTCAGTCTGTTGGCGCTACTTTTTTTTTTTTTATCCCGTTCCTCCTTTGAAAGTCATCATCGTCTACAACCATAATACAGGTGGATATTTTAATTGGTTCGGAAATATTTCGAGATTACCTGTCACACGACTGGCAATTAGAGGGTATCCGATTGTTAAAATAATTGCGGCCGCGCGCAATGGGCGTGTGTTGTACGGACGAATAAAAATTAATCGATCTTTTCATTATTGGAATTATTATTATTAGGATCTCCTTTACCTGTAGCAGACTGCTGCTTGTCAATGCGCCTCTCTGTATATAATAATAATAATAATAATATGTGAGAAAGGATAGGTTTTCTTCGTTATTTTTATTGTCCCGAAACAAACCTCGAAGAATCACAATAGTTATTTCAATGCTATATATATGTATACTACAACTACTTCAAATAAGCCCACTATATAATATTATATACTATCTTTATACCATCATTATTTTTATGGTCGTCTGCTGTGGTGCACGCCAAACCGACGACGATTGTACTCCGTTAACAGTTTACACGATCGAGAAACTATGCACCAACATTATTATTGCATGCGGGCTATTCCTGTAAGCAATGCGATAAATTATTGGGTTTTTATAATCATTTTTTTTTTTTTGCATAATTTACCCCTGTATCGATTTATAACCGATACCGCCTACCACGATGGTATTTCGTGATGATGATAATAGTAATAATAATGAATTATGATATTACAATATTACTGTTAAATACGCACGCGTCATCCTATTGTAATATGACGTGCATCACGTGGCTTAAACGACAAAATAATATTATTAAAATGATAAAATAATGTAACGTTTAAAAACAATTCTCGTTTTAAACGTTTTTATTAATTTTTGTCTTTTCGTTTGTTTACAGGGTACGTTCTCACTCATCGTGGAAGCGTGGCACGAACCGTCGTCTGCAAGAAATTCAGGTACATATTATATTATATTTTTTAACGATAACGAATCGGTTTACTTTAGGTATCCAACACCAAGACCTACCCATGTATTACGTTTTATTTTTACGATTATCTGGTGCGCGCTCGGCCGCGTGTAATCTCGTATACATAATATTATTATTATTATTATTATTATTATTATGCGTCGTAGGTAAATGTCGGAAAAAAATATTATGTTTCTGAGTCAGTAGGGTCGTCTGTGCTGTGTGTGAGTATCTGGGTCTATATACCCAGAAACCCTATACGCTCCGCACGCCCTCGAAATATATGTGTCCTACCCTTCTGTACAAGTCACAAACAACACCTGTTCGGTGTATCCGTTTTCCCACGAGTCGTACGCGCGTACATTTATATAGAGGTACCTACGTATAATAATAATGTACGCGTATATATTATAGTAAAATCGCGGCCATTGGCGACCTTGGACCCGGCGTGTTCCATTCATAAAAACACGACATTAAATCGACAAGTCCGTAAGCGCGCTGGCACTGCACGACGACGACGACAAAGATTTGACACAAACTACTCTCGTGAATTTAAATGTCTTAATTACCTACTCTTATTTCCGGTTCGGCTCGGCTGTTTTATATTAACGACGACCGGCACAATAATAATAATAATAATAATACTAATACGTCGTCTTCGTGTTGTGTAGTATACGGCACATGTGAAAACACATTTTATCGTATATAATATAATAATAGTAATAATATCGTGTACTACTCCAGCGGTGACTCAAACGCCGCCGCACCAAAGTGACTTATCGACATCGTCGTGCGTTTTGATAAGATCTGTATGGTGGTGGTGGTGCCTGTTTGTGCATCAATATTTATTCTGGAAAAAAAGCGTAAACGTTTAAATTTTTTTACGATTGAGTAATATATTATTATTATTATTATTACATAATATATTATATTATTATATATACACACTGCTGCGCAGCGTTATTGTTTATTTATCTTTGTTTGCCATATAGCGGCGGCGGCGGTAAACTAAAAATTAAAAAACTCCGGACGTTGGTGGATGGGGAAGTGTGTGTGTGTGTTGGCTCCGTCCCCGTACATTATTATACGCATTCGTCTCGAATAGTCGTGTGTGTGTGCGCGTATATACATAATATTATATAATAATAATTCTTCGGATTTTTTGGTGCGACGAAATCGCATGGGAAGAAATCGTTTGGCTCGCGAAACGGCGAACGCCGTCGGATGAAATCGAAAAGGGTGGCGGCGGCGGCGGCGTATATACAATTATTCTTAAAATTCATCTCGCGTATGCGTATAATGTATAAAAATATATATAGGCGCGCGCGTTCCCGTGTTCTTTTGTGTGATTTGTGTGTGCTCCGTAGGACAAAAAAAAAGTGGAAAAAAAATGCATGTCGTATTCTTCGCGGCGGCGGCAGGGTAATCGCGAAGCGCATAAATTTCAACGCTTTTGTCGTTGAATAAAATCCGGACCAGACGTCGTCGTCGTCGTCGTCGACGGGAATTCTTTTCTTTTCTCTCTCCCCGCCGCCGAGAAGCCGTCTCCTTGCCGTTCCCTCCCTCCCCCGCCACCCCTTTTCCGACGATATACGCGTATTTTATAATAGACCTTTTATTCGGTCGTTTCTCGGGTTTGTATTTTTGTATTTTTTTTTTTTTTTTTTGTTTTTCCGTTTTGATCCCGAGCCAAGCCCCGGGCCCCGCGGTGTCTCGCATCCCCGCGCGAGACATAAAATACGACGGGTCCAGAAATAATCTCGTCACGGAAATAATATATACGGAAATCGGTGGAAATGATAGGAATTCCGGGCCCCCGGAAACGTTTATTATATGCATGGGTACCGAAAATAATACAGAGGACGATGCTGCGCGCAGTGACGACGACGACACCGAAAACACGTCATTTTCAAAATATTTCCATTATTATATATCGATATAAAATATATAATATTATAATATAATATCCGTAGCCGACGCCGCCGCCTCGTGGCTTATTGGAGAGTGGAAATCACTTTGTTGTTTTGTGTGCTGTATTGGCTCTTTATTATTATTATTATTATTATTCCATTTTATTCGGACGTTAGAAACGGCCGAAGAAAACGGTAGGCACGTAGCATTCATACGGCGTGTGTAAGTATTATGTGCGCGCGCGCGCGCGCGCGTATGTGTGTGTGTGACCAATTGTTGGGCGGTGGGTGACCGTCTTATTCTCCCACGGTGCCTCTGCCGACGTGTCTGCCGCGTTCGTCCGCCGGCGCCTCCTCCCGTTCGTCGTGTACACACACACACACACACACTAGCTCGCACATATATGAGAACCGAATACTTTTTACTACACACGACACATTGTTTTATTGTAAATATTTTTATTTATCATTATATATTAGGTCTGAGATTAAACCCTAAAAAATGGCAAAAAAATCTCAAATGCCTCGAAGTGACATGCATTGTAAAAATGTACGTTTAAAAGTTAGTTCGTACAGTTTGGAAAAAATTACACGACCGAAACTCGTTGTCGTTCGACGGTGATTGTTTTTGAGAAACACTTAAAAAAAAAAAACAATATCAGCTGTATACTATATACAGGAATTAGATATTTTATCGTTATCGCCTCCTTAATTATTTACATAAAAGATATATAGATATGATATTATGTAGAGGTGTGTCTAGACCGTTCGGCACCACCTCTTCTAAATTTAATTGGTACCATTAAATTTTATTTTTATTCCTCAACCATTTTACTGACGGTTTGTTTTTCTTTCCCTCGCAGGAACGACCAACGGATCGGCGTTGATCACGCGGATCACGGACCAACGGTTCCTGAAACTCAGCGACGGATGGGTGCAACAGGAATACGCCGGATCGACCGGCGGCGTCCGATCGCGACTCGTGTACGAGCACAGGGTCCGTTGTGAGGATAACTATCACGGGGACGGGTGCGCGAAATTCTGTCGGCCAAGGGATGACAATTTCGGACATTACCTGTGCTCGGACGACGGAGACATGATATGCATGCCCGGCTGGACCGGTAGCTATTGCAGCAAAGGTACGTTTTTATTGCAAATTTGTAATATAGTCATATCATTATAGTGTGTTGTTGTAAAACTATACGATGGGTTCTCGAACAGTTCGATAACTATAATGTTCAATATTATATTATCATAAGCATAATTTATACATTTTTCAAGTATAAATATCCTAGAATACTGTCTATCGTTTAAATTTCAAGTCGAAAATTCAAAAACGTACATAGTGGATTCGAGTTGGAGTTTGATTTCGAAAAGTTCCTGAAAAAACCAAGTATACAAATAATTTGAAGATCGACCCGTCCCTAGATTTATTATAACCCGTGTTGTTACCGCGGTCGTGCAATCGGTGTGCATCGTACGCGCGCGCGTTTAAATTATTTTTATATCGTTATTACCACTCGCGTTTGGTTATATAGCGAGACGGAGGCGTGTTTCGTCGGTCGTTGAGACCCTCCTAGGACGTTTATAGGTGTACGCGCGGCGCATTTTACGTTTCGAAATTAAATTTCATTCGGGGCGAGTAACTAATTAAAAAGAATAAAAAGGGAAAAATATTACACCATGATTGCGCGGACGCGATTTCATTGTTTTGCCTTCTTCCACGCCACCGATCTCTCTCCGTATAATAAAAATAATAATAATATAATATGTAATAATATGTGTTTTAATACGTGTGTCCGATGATGATAATAATAATAATAATAATAATAACGAGATAATAGGTTGTACCCCGCTCGTCGATGACGATAATAATAATAATGGTATTACGAAGTAGTAGGAGGAGGATGAGGAGGAGGAGTAGGAGGAGGAAAATTAACCGTGCCGTGCAGCAGTGGTTGTGTCCGGCGTGCGTTTTATATGTATAATTTATCGGTATCCGATGATGATGATGATGATGATGATGATGAGTGGCGTTGTAGTCGTCCCGTCCATCGTCGGACGGGCGACGGGCCGCCGCCGTCGCTCCGGTCAACCTTCCGTCGCGCGGATTCTCGTCGTCGTCTCAGCAGTAGTAATATTAATAATAGTAGTAGAAGAAGAAGTAGTAGTAGTAGTAGTAGTAGTAGTAGTCGTAGTAGTAGTAGTAGTAGTAGAAGTCGTCGCCGCCGCCGTCGTTGCCTTGCCAGTCCTTTTGTGCACGGGCAGTGGTGGTTCCGTCTCTCGGACACGCCGCCGCCGCCGCCGCTCCGGTAGTCCTCCAGGTTCCCACGGTAACGTTCGTTCCATAGCTATGGGCTTCTCTCGCGCGCCGTGTGTGCCTGTCAGGTTGTTATGCGCTCAGTGGTTCCCAAACAGGCGGCCGTGGCCGCGACCGACCGGCATACATACCTCGACGCCGTGCCGCCGCCGATCACAATCTCTTTATATTACGCTCCTTTTGTTTTACACACGAATAATAATAATAATAAAAAAAATACCGTACGAGCACACATGACTCACATCGCGCGCGACAGTTTTTTTTCTCGTGCGTACGCGCGGAATACGTTATTAACAGTGCCGCAACTACCGGGGGTGCAGGGGGTGCATTGCACCCCCAGTAGAGAATTTAGAGGGCCCCGAAGGGGCCCTCGATAATTGAAAAATACTTAGAATTATTACATAGAAAATTAGAAACTAATATAGGTAATAAAGGGTGTCTATGAATAAAATATAATTTAGATATTACAAAATGTAGAGGACAGGGCTACGACGGAGCCTCAGTTATGAGCGGTGCTAAATCAGGGGTACAAAAAAGGATTTCTGATGTAGTCCCTAGTTCCTTATATGTACATTGTACGGCTCATAACTTAAATCTAGTAATTGCTGATGTTGCCAAAGTTCATTAAAAATTTCTACATTTTTTGATATAGTTCAAAATATATATTTGTTTTTCAGCCAAAGTGCACCTAGATGGGCATCATTAGTATTTGGTAATGATATAGAAAATCAAATACAAAAAAAAGTTTTGAAAAAAGTGTGTAATACAAGATGGGAAGCTAGACATTCATCTGTATATGCATTAAAAGAAAATTTTATTAATGTATTGAAATCTTTGACAAATATTTCACTAACCAGCAAAAAAAGTGATGAATTAAATAGAGCAAAATCTCTTTTAAAAAAAATGCAATTTTTTTAGTTTGTTTTGCTTATAATTATTTGGGAAAATGTTTTGAAACCATTATCTGTGGTATCCAAGATGTTACAGTGCTCACAAACCAGTATCCATCAAGCCAGTGAGTTTTTGCAAATTGGTATTAATTCAATTAAAAATATGAGACATAATTATAAAGAACTGGTAGAATATGTGTTTAAAATGGGGAATACAATTTCAGAATGAAAATAAACGAAAAAATTATTCTAAAAAACTATTTGGTGAAGTTGATGGAGACAGGAGATTGGATATTACAGAGGAAAAATTTTATGTTTCAGTATTTTTACCATTAGTTGATACTGCTTTATTTCAACTCGAAGATCGTTTTAAAGGACTTAAAATAGTATCAAATACTTTTAATTTTTTATTGCCACCAAATATAATAAAATTAAATGAAGCAGAAATAGTAAAATCATGCTTGATTTTATTCAGTTTTACAAAACTGATGTAACTTCCGATTTAACTAGTCAAGTTCTATCTTTAAAGGAGTTTATAAAAAACACTGATATGAAAACAATTAAAGAATTATGTTTATATTTAATAGAAAACGACCTATCATCTTTGTATAGTGAAGTTGTTACATCTTGTATTATATTTTTAAGTTTACCAGTGACTGTTGAAACGGCCGAACGATCATTTTCTAAACTTAAATTGATTAAAAACTATTTAAGAAACTCGATATCTCAAGACCAATTAACCAACATAAGTATCTTAAATATAGAAAGAGCTCGCACTGAAGAACTTGATGTAGAAAAATTAATTTTAGACTTTGCCAATCAAAAAAGCAGAAAAAAAATTTTTTTAAAGTAATTTTAATATTATAAATATGTAATTTTTTTATAATTTTAAATGTATTTACTATTTTGTATAATAGTGTAAATAAGCAAATATATGTATTATGTATAATATGTAAACATATGAAAAACATAAATATTTAATTTTTTTATTATAATTTTAAACGTACCTATATCAACCATTTTTATCTAGTGTAAATTTGTATTTTTTTAGTTAAAAAGAAATTTAAATGGTGATGGATACTTAACGTTTATAAATATATTTTTCATGAAAATATTTCGTAAAATTTTGGAAAGTAAGGGGCCCTATTATTTGGTTTGGCACCCCTGCCCTAATAACCTTAGTTGCTGCACTGGTTATTAATATAATATTATATAGGAAAAAATGTATTATTTATGTGCGACGTTAATAAATCACGGCCGACGACGACGACGACAATAATTACATATTCGGTATAGGAGTCGGTGGCTGTGTTGGTCGGGGGGGGGGGGCGATGCGAGCGACTGGTGGTTTTTTACGAGCGAATTTCGGTCGCGTTTTACGACTCCCTCTCGATTCAAACGACGACCACCGCGATCATAATATATTATTGTAATAATTTTCGACCGCTCATCTCTTCAATAGGATCGTTCCGCCGATTGATTCGGTCCTCATAGACGGTTTTTGGGCGAAAACTCTGCCGATCAAAAGTTTCCGACAACTGGGGCTACCGCCGTCGCACACGAGAGTTCTTATAACCGGTGACACAATAATCATATACACACACAAACAGAAAGAGAGATAGAGAGAGAGAGAGGCGATCCGAAGAGATAGCCTGTAATTACACGGTGGGTATCGGTTACCCGCCGCCGCCGTCGATGTCGGTCCCGATCGCTTCGCCCGCTCCTCCGCCGTAGACCACCAGAACCGTTTATACGAACGATTATTAAACGCCATTGTTTCTGTATATCCAGTTACCGGTTTTCGTTTTTTTTTTCCTCCTCTCTCTCGCACTCTCGTCCATCTCCGCGATTCCTTCCTCGTTTCATTTATTTATATATTATATATTAATATATTGTATTTCTCTCCCGCGATTGCGGCGGCGGCGGCGGCGGATCCCACAAGAGAGTAATTACGTTTCAGAACCCGTGCAATTTGTCGCCATTCATAACGTTTCGAAACAAGATCAGCAAACAGATATATTATATATATATATATTATTATTATTATTATTATTATTCACGTATATAAAAAAATTCTTGCCGACCGGTCACGAAAATCGCATTAAGTCTCTGCGGCGCGGGTGCGCGCGTTATCCTCCGCCGCCGCCGACATTCTTGGCCGCGATCGTCGTCGTACTCTGCTGCAATATCACCGTCGTCGTCGTCATCACTACCGTCCTATTTTGCAGTACCTATATGATATTTCATATTATTATTTTAATTTTCCTCGGGCCGCGATTTATGGCCGCCCCGCGTTTTCCCAGCGGGGAACAATAGCCGTATATGTCCGCTGCACACTCACACACACTTTCAGGGTGCTGCAGCAGCAGCAGTGCAGTATTATATGTATATACGGTGTGGGTCTCTGACATAACAACAAAAACCCATTGGCCCCGGGGTGGCAGCTGCAAAACGCGCTCGGCGGCGGCCACTTGTCCCCCTGCAGCTCTGCAGCCAGAGAGTATATAATAATATATATATATATAATGTTAAACTGCACACACGCCGAAAAACCGTCCGCGCGAGCCCCTCGTCGAGTCGGACAACATCTGCCGGGTTCCGGTTTCGCCACTCCCGGTCTCGGGGTAAAAAAAAATTAAATTCAATATATAAAGCTCCTATATTATGTATGACGTATGCAAACGATAAATACATCATAATATATTATAACCGCGCGCGCGTGTGCGTGCCCATATTGCACCATGAATATTATTGAACGTAAAGTGTGTGCGTGTGGGGAAAAATTTTTTATTTCAAACGTAGCTTTGAATTTTGAATTAAATTTTTATTCGTTTTTTGTTGTTTTTTTTTTTACAGCGATCTGCGCACCTGGCTGCGACGAGAAAAAAGGAACGTGCATGACTCCAGGAACCTGCCAGTGAGTAGAACCTCTATATAATATTGTACGCGCGTATTTATAGGTACTGCTGCGAACCTTTTATGTATAATATAAACATATATATATATATATATATATATACACGAGTCCATAAGTCTTCTATTTATGTGCCGTCGCTTTTCCGTTTTATACGTGCTGCAGTATACCTCTACTATATACGTATGTATAGTATTAGTATTCTTTTTATTTTTTTCAAGTCGGTAATTAAAAGTCTCCGACTGGTTCACGGCCATCCATATATCCGACGACCTTAACCCCAGCACCTCTCCCACATAACCGGTCACCGTCATCATCGTGTATATACGAGTATATATACTATATCGTTCCTGTTGTTTATTTATGGATCGATCGTGCTGCGGCTATTTATCTGATTCAATCAGCGCGCCGAGAATATATAATATTTAAACGTTATTTCCTCCGTGCGTCTCTCGAACTCCCGTACCCCGCCGCACCCACCCCCGCTCTTCGCGGACCTTCATTTAACCACCACCACCACCTACACCACCTAGCCCACCAAACTTCGATTCGTATATTATATATTATACTTGCAGCGTCAAAAACAATATATACGACAATTGCTAAAAACTCGTGTTTTTCTTTCTCTTCCGCAGATGTCACGCGGGCTGGACAGGAGCCAGATGCGACCAGTGTCAGATATATCCGGGTTGCGTGAACGGTTATTGCCAAAAACCATGGCAGTGTCTGTGCAAAGAAGGTTGGGGTGGTATGTTTTGCAACCAGGACCTGAACTACTGCACCAACCACGCGCCCTGCAAAAATGGAGGCACGTGCTTCAACACTGGCCAGGGCCTGTACACGTGCGCATGCGCCCCCGGATATACGGGGCCCGAGTGCAACGTCGACATGGGACTGACCAACAAACCAGGAATGGACTGTTCTACTGGACTGACGTGCCTCAACGGCGGTACGTGCAAGGTGAGCGTCGAATCATTTTCATTGTACTATTAATCCATCGAAACGTATAGGGGGGAGGGGTTGGGTGAAAAGGGCAAAAATGTAGAACCGACAAAATACGTAAGTTTAAATTAAATGACTTCTGTTGTGTATATACTCATTACTAGTATAGTGTTATCGTCAGTAAACTAAAGTTGGTGGGAGGGGTTGCGTTTTACTGTTGTGTCTGCTGTCCGTTTGCGATGAGCAAAATACGCATATTATAATACATTATCCAGTCCTAAACGTTTTGCGTGTTGTTTCCGCAGAAAACCGGATCCGTCTCTAGCTGCACGTGTCCCAGCCAATGGAAGGGAATCAGATGCGAGACGTCCACGCAGCCGGCCTGCGCAAGTTCGCCGTGCGGGAACGGAGGCACTTGCGTCAACGCCGCCAAGACCAACAACAACGGAACCGGAACCGGTGGCAACAACAACGGGTACGTGTGCCATTGCCCGATCGGATTTTCCGGACCGACCTGTCACCAGACGACCAACCACTGTCAGCCGGACCCGTGCCGGAACGGGGCCACGTGCGTGCCGAGCAAAGACAGTTCCAGTTACACTTGCAAGTGTGCGCCCGGGTTCGCGGGGGCCCACTGCCACCTGCCCGACCACTGCCAAAAGAACCCTTGCCTGAACGGCGGTACGTGCCAGGCGCAGGCCGACGGTTTCCGGTGCCAATGCGTGCCCGGGTACGTCGGCGATCTGTGCCTGAGCGTGGTAGACTACTGCGTGGCCAAGCCGTGCGCCAACGGCGGTACATGCGAGAACCTGAAGAACGACTTCCGGTGTGGGTGCCGACCCGGATTCGGCGGCAAGGACTGCAGCCGGTACGTCAACGAATGCGTACTGTCGTCGCCGTGCGCGAACGGTGGCACATGCGTGACCACCGGCGGCAGTGACGGCGGCTTCAGGTGCGAGTGTCCTGTCGGTTACACGGGCGCCAACTGCACCGACGAGCGGCCGACCACGCTGGGCGACAGGTCCAAGCACGTGTCCGCAGTGGTACAGGAACAGCCCGAGATGGTGCAAGCGTCCGTCAATGGCGTGCTCATGGTGGTGCTGTCCGTGTCCGTGCCTGTGGCCGTGTTGGCCGCCATCGCGGTAGTGTTGTGCATGAAGAACCGCCGGCGCCGCGACCAGAAGAAGGCCGACGATAACGCGAGAATGCAAAATGAACAGAACTCGATACACAGCGTGGCCAAGCTGGGCGACCCACACGTCATCAGAAACTCGTGGGACCCGCTGCCGGCCGCGGCCCGGGAGAACGTGTACTCCGAACCGCTGTGCTTTGCCGCGCCCAACAAGATGCAGCAGACGTCGCTGACGCCGGCCCAGTCGTCGTCGTCACTGCAGAGGCAGAAGCTGCTCAACACCGACAGACAAAACCGGATGTCGTTCAAGGAACAAGACGCCATAAACGCGTTGGACCGCAGGATATCTGTCATATCGGTCGATTCGGCCGCCAACCAATGCAACAACACAAATAAGTAAGCATCATATTATAAAAAATTATTATACTAACATATACCATAAGATGATCTTAAGAATAAGTAATAACGTGGTGTACGCTAGGGGGTAGGAGGCATACTTAGACGACTTTGGGGATTCGAGTGGCACCAATTCCAGAAGATTTCTAATTTTTTATATGGTCTCGTATAAAATTTGCATATCCGTATAAAACGGACGAGCAGCGTGTTTAATTTACGGTTTTTTAAGTACAGACAATTAAAATACAAAATCATGTATTTATATTTTAAAGAATTCGCTTTACGCGATGCGCAAAAATATGCGTTTAACGGGGTTTTCAGTTTTCACCCTTCTGTTATTCAAACAATTTATATTTTCATCATGAACAACATTAGATGTATAGGAAGTGCCTATCCTCCGAATAAAAAGTTTTTGGTTTGGCAAAAATATTTTTTTCTACCTGCAGTTTCCGGGGAAAGAAAACCTTTTCTATTATATTCTCATGATGATGATGTTTTATTTATATTTTTTCTTTGTCTGAAACGTTTTTGGGGGCATATATAATATATCATATAATATTATAAGCTCGTCATGTTCCAACGTTTTTAGAGCTGTATGAGTATAGTATATGTAAGTCGTCCGAACATTATGCGCTCGCCGTAATGACACACGTTTCGACTACGACGATGAGTTTCCCAAACCTCCAGAGTCGTCTATATATATATATATATATATAATATGCTCACCAGGCGTATGACGTTATCGTTTAACAATAAAGCGTAATGCACATACTATAATATATAGGTATTAATAGTAGGTACACGCGAGCGTGTGTTCTCCGGACCTCGAGTAATGCGAGCGTCTCTCTCTGCAGCGCACTTCACTCGTTCACATTTATATTATATTATTTTGTATTTATATATCCTTTAACACAAACGTCTCTGCGGGGCGCGGTGGTGACGGTGTCCGAATGTGTGTGTGTATATAAAACATGCATTATATTAAAATACCGACGACGGGTCTGTGTCTATTGTATCGGCCGAATACAATATTGTATTGTCGTATTATTACGTGTGTGAGGTCTTAATGTTGCGGCGGCGGAATGTCTTGATAGCGCGTCGGTAGGTACAAAATAATAACATAATGCGCTTCTACCTACTAGCCCAATATTGCAGTTATAGAGTTATATACAGTATAATAATAATATGTAGAAGTGTGGTGTTTGATAGACACAATTATTATTATTCGTCGCCGTGGTCGTCGTCGTCTGGCACAGCCGCTGTCCGACGATGAATGTGTTGATGACTAGGCGCAATACGACAACGGGCTAATAGTAATATAATATTAATATTATTATATTGTCGAGGACTTCATTTATAATATCAGCCCGCAACACTGTGACTTGACACAACGCCGCTGCGTCTTTTTTCATGCCTATATTATTATTACAATATTAAGGGGATTGCAAACGGCGGTCAGTTATTTCAACCGAAACGTATCGATCTTTTGTCGATCCTTTGCAGCACCGCTAGTAATGTGATCATACTTTTGAAAAGTGATTTGAATTTAATATTATGTATCTACTTGCGATCTATGTGGCCACTTTTTTGAAATTTTAAATGTTGATTAGGTATTTGAAATTTGAATTTATAATCTTAAATCGTGGCCTAATCGATCTTCTCCAGTAGACATATTATATTAATGAATTAAGATCAGTTTTCGGAAGTTCTATCGCGTTATCTCGGATCCATTGGTTCTTTACCGTTCACGCTCGCAGGTGGTTACTTGTATACATGCCGTGTGGTGGTAGGGTTCCTATATTTTTTTCTCTACCACACAGACATTAATGATCACTTATAGGTACTGCGCACACATTTACAGGACCCGCATGCACTTGGAAAATGTCCTATATTCAACCCTTAAAAACTCTCCCTTTGCAACAAACCCTTTATATGTGCACACCGTCCGACGAACGTATTTATTAAGTTTTTGGTTTTTTTCTGTTTCAGCGAGGTATCGCCTGTCAAAGCTCACCACTATCATCGCAACATACACCAGCAGCTTCAGTACGAAAGAGCGGCCGTGAAATCGATGATTTTAGACCAACACTCTTTCGCCACACAAGTTTAGACTGTTTATTAAGTTATATATATTATATATATATAAATATTTTTTTTTGTAAGTAGACCTCTTGATGAATCTGTCAGTCCATTTTTTTTTGACCCTCTCAATTTGTATACACACACCACACACACACACAAACATTCGAAAATGACTGGCTTACGCCGTAATATTACGATTAGACTACATTTACATATTAATATATCTATTTCTCTAACACCCTCATCTAATCCCGCCCTACCCTACTAACATCATCATATCGTATAACTATTATTCCCTCTCCGTTAAAAGAAAAGAAAAACCCTTAAAAAACGTCGACAACTGAAAAAAAAAAATGTATTCTAATCTCAATCAATATATCTATTTATATATATATGTATATATATAATATACCCATCATTATAAAAATTTTTAAAATAGAGCCAGGGTGATGATCTCTAAGGCGTTGTGATCGTTTTGTTGTTGTTATAATCATATAATTATAAGTATTATTATTAATTTAATTAATGTGTCGAACAAAAAAAAAAAACATGTTCCTGTTATTTATTCCCTAAGTCATTATTTTGTAGTTTTTTATACGACTTTTTTTTTGTGCGAGTCTTTAGGACGACGAATTATTTGTTAATGTAATAATTAATTAAAAGTAAAAGCGTTGTCAGACGCGTATTATGGTATATATATACATTATACACATTATACATATATATAAATATATATATATCGTAATCGTGTAAGACAAAAATTATACTTAAGTTTTTTGTACTGTATTTTGTAAAAAAAAACCTAATTCTTCGTTTGTATATTATAATATCGGAAGTGTAAATAAGTTAAATTACAATTCTAAACAACGATCATTTATTTTTCGTCAGTGAATAAATTTGTTAAATTGACTCATTTAAATGTTTTTTAAATATATTATTGTTGTTCCTTTGTTAATAAATGATTGTTTCAAATGATTAAAAACAAAAACAAAAAAAACCACTATATTATTATTATTATTGTCATTACTTATCATCGTTTCCTTTTCCCGATTATTGACCGTTGAGGTTTCCGTCGTGCGGTGTTGTCCGCGGGGGCACGTGCGACGATCGGTTCTGCGGTCTGCGGAATGATGCCGTTTTCGCAACGGGTGTGCCCTGCTGCACATGTACACAAAGAATATAATAATGATATTATTATTATTATTATTATAATACAGTGACCGGTGACCGCCGTGGGTATCGACCGCGAGTGAAATAATACATTAGGTACATCTCGTGCGATATCTATTCTGCTGCGGGTCGCGGGAACGTGCGGACAAACCGTAAACGAATAAAAATAATAATAACGTAATAATCGAATAATATTTTATCGTACGGTCATCGTCCCACCGCAATTGGATTTATTGAATCGAAAAAACCTCAGAAACGAATTACCGGCCGCTGACGGACGACGATCCGATGCACGTCTTATTCGATTTATTACGAATAATACTATTGTAATAAATATAATATAAGCGATCCGTTCTCAGACCGCAAACCTCGGGCGATGTGCGATGAGCACCTACATTTACGTCCCGTGCCCACGTTTAACCGGAAGTTTTCTTCGGAAAACTCATCATCACACATGAGAGATGATCGATTGCGGTCGACCGCGGTGGAGAGTGGCTGGCCCCGTTCTCTTTTTTCGCGGGACAATCGACTCGTATGTTTGTGATAATGTTATAGACTACGGAATGCCCGTCTCCTGTGGGGATCGACGTGAAGGTATAATAAGTATAACACTCCCAAGGATTAGATATAATGCATCTCGGGAAATAATTAGAAAGGGGATGAAAAAGTGCGGTGGAAAATGAGGATTGATTGGAAATATAATAATGTACATTATAAAACAATGCAAAAATTATTAGGTTATAATCTGCAGAAGGGGTACTTACGTATTAATACTTTTTTTTTTTAAAGAAGAAGGGATTTTTTCCCCTCACGTCCACCCTCAATTCAAAACACCTATTATGTATTTATATGATTTAATATTATGGTCCGTTGGGGAATTTATGGGAAACAAGGGTTATTACCTACTTGCTTTATATAGCCCGCAGAGAATTAGGTGCAAAATACTTTTGGTGTCAATATAAGCTGTGAGGGGCCTAACGCTACATTTATATGAAATCTTCACCCAGTGATCAGCAGGGGCACATATGTAACAATTTTAGTAAACCTACCTGCGGCTTACCTTATTACTATATTTACTATAGTAAAATTACTTATAACAATTTATATACATATGATAATATCCTTAGAAATAAAGGCTGACAAACCTTCGCCTATAACTAAAGTGGAGTTCCCAGATTTTTTATAATCGAATTTCTGTTTATTAACACATTTAGGACGAAGACCGTGTTTTTGAAGATTTTTTTAAGATAATATTATCTTAAAAAATAATTGTTTAGTCGTCAACGTGTTAATGATTTTTTTTTTTGGTTTGTAAGTACAAAGCCTCAAGTGCAAACCCACCGTCGTTAGTCGTAGGCCCTATGCCTATATAGTGCCTCATGGTTAATCTGGCACACCCATCGTCGTTAGTCGTATAGACACTGTGCTCATACATTGCGCTTAATGTGGCCCTGGACTTACTAATATATTATAGATTTATATTGAGAGAGTTCTAGCCGCCTCTTCTTGAGGAGAAAGAAAAAAAAATCGTCTAAATTTAGACGGCCCTCTGTGGCGCAGATTCCAGCGACGATGACGACGATATCGTCATTGAAAATAGGAATTTCGACAAATCGATAGTTGGAACCGGACCAGATATAATATATAGTGGAGAACGCGCGTGGCGACTATATTATATTATTATTTATATAAATAATACTGTGTACGGTGTATACCGCATTTTCCAGCGACTGCGTATTGTACAATAAATTACACCCTAAAATAAAATTCTATAGTAAAATATGTAAACGTCTTCCGAGTCCAGACAACACGATGAAATGAGAAATTCTACAAGGGCCGACTCGAACGAATCTGCTGCAGCTAGCCAGGCGTCGTGAAAACAGGTTAAAAAACACGTCACAACGTTTTACGTATGATCACAGCATCATGTATCAGAGATGTAAGGGGGAGTCGGGGAGAGACTTGTTGCTGGCCGCCTGGCCCTTTCCATGTATTTTAAGTATTTTTGATTTTGTGGGAAGAAGTGTATCGAATGAATGCCAATACTATTGACTTGGAAATTTATGAGAATATGGTATAAGCTATAAATAGTCACAAAATTAAAATTTCAAAAATGTGGTCATTTTTACAATTGGGATGGCTGGTGAAACCTTGGCTTGTCGTAGCCAAAAAGAAAAATATAACGGAATATTATTAGTTATGAGTTCGAGATTATCCAAAAAAAATATTAGACAGAAAAATGATTACTCAATAGTGTTATTGTGATTACTTTAGGTTAACCGACAGTTATTTAGCGACAACCTGCACAGGTTAACATTGTGTTATATTATTTTAAGACAGTTTTGTAATCTATACTTACAAAACAAAATAATATAAGTATATAGCCGGTCTAACCAATAAAACTTAAAGTATACAGCATATAAAATAGCGACTATATATTATGCTATAATTACCTTAGCTTTGACTGTCACAACAAACCAATTTCCGGTAAGGCACATTTTCACTTCAAAAATCTACCACGAAAAGAAAAATTCCAGTTACTTTTCCAAGTTGGCCTGCAAATTATAGTAGTTTATCAAAATACTATAGTAGGGTCGAATATTTAGGTTGTGTCACGAATCCAAATTATGAATACTTTAAAATAGATATTTAATATAATGAAAAATCTTGTGAAAAAAAAAGGAAATATTCCTGCAGGGATTTGGTTTGTAGGCACAGTTGGGCTTGATTATATTATTTTCTCTTGTAAATTACAAAATTGTTTTAAAATATAATATAACACTTGTTGACCTGTGCAGGTTGTCGCTAAATAACCGTCGGTTACTGTAGACAAATCTATATAGTTGCGGTATAACAGCTATACGCGGATAAGTACAGGAAAATGCGTGTTCAAATAAAATGCCCAAAACTGGAAATATACAAAATTAATTTTCTTAGATGCACGTATAATAATAATAATATTATAGTCGAGCCGGTCGAGGTATATATCGCTATAGAATGGCGGGGTGGCCGCCGTCAGCAGCAGACAGACGGACCGTCGACCGGCAGACCGGAAACTCGGGTCTCCGGAATGCGCGTTCGCTATGGAAACGTATAATTTGGCGAATGATATTATATACACGCGATGCGGATATCGCATTGTTGTGTACGATATTATAATATTATTATTATTGTTATTATAATGAACGCGGCTGCCATCGTCGTCGTCGTCGTCCCGAGCACGTCCCGCAGCGCGCCAAGACGTAGTCGGTCGTCGCGGGGTCGGCGGCGCACGTTGAATAGCAGCTCTGGACGAGTTGTGATCGTGAGAGGGGAGGAGGAGGGAGGGGCGTGCTGGTGAAAAGGATGTGCAGAGGAAACACGGGCAGGATTGATGTACAAATAATAATATTATTATCATTACACATTTATTTAGGTATATGTGCACGCGATACGAGTAAACAGCCACGGTATATATACCGAGGTAGTATATAATAGGTACCTAACTATAATCTTATGAAATTACACGTGCGAGTTTTTCGTTTTATTGTTTTCGCAGACTGCGCGCGGTCGTCCGCCGATAAAAATCGTGCCGAATGATTGCATTTTTATTATTATGTACGTACACATTAAACTGCTTGTATACAGGATGATTCACCGAGCATGCGCTCACCCTCTTCATCTTCTTCAACATGCAGTTATTCCGAATTGGATTTTTTGTACTTAAACCCTATACTCAAGAGTTTTTGTATATAAGACTTTAGTAATTAATAAATCTATTAATCTATCGATATTTATAATTTATAAAAATGGTCTGAGTGACCAAGTATATAATACATAATACATATACCTACTAGATATGATTTTACTCAACATGTA